TCTCTCTACATTGTACTTAGGAACGGAGGGAGTAAATCGCAAAGCTGTCATTAAATTGTTTTGCTTGGTCAGAAACATACTCCCTCTGTTCACAAACATAAAATGTTTTGAATATTTCAATACGGACTAAAATGAATGAACAAAAACACTAAACGTGTCTATATACCTCCAATCAGAAATAAAAGTTAGAACATCTTATATTCATATTTGTGGACGGGGGAATACTACTGTTTCTGCCAAAATAATTGTGAAGAGGCAAACAAAGCAAACCAAAATTAAAGGCCATCGAATGGAAGTTTACGGCAAGAAAGCTACCTGATTGTCCAAAAGAGGCTCAACCAGTAATAAGCAACAAGGAGAAGGACAGTGCATCACATTCAACTGGAGACAGAGAACCAAGTTTAAATACAAGAAAATGGACACAGATAACCACTCCAACACAGACTACCGTTAACTTCTTTTTAGGGTAAGACTACTGTTAACTAAATACATAGACTAGTTATAGTCGGACAAGGCTACTGTCACAAGCTCAGAAGCCGTCGCCACGCTCCTCAGAAACCGCGCCGCCTGTGGTGCGTAGTTTGTTCAAGCCGACAAGGTTAAATGATTAAGCACATGAAATGCGAAGAAAATATGGGGTGAACATATCGTACTTGCGAGGGTGATGGCTATGTTTGCCTGGCGATCCGCCTCAGAGTTCCATTCCTTACATTCAGAAAATGGACAGAGATCAGCAAAGCCAAACATATTGCTGTCTGAAGCAGACACACAAAATGCAGTACAGGAAGCATAAAACATACTCCCTCTGTCCCAAAATAAGTGTCTCAACTTTGTACTAACTTACTAAAGTTGAGACACTTATTTTCGGACGGAGGGAGTATTATCTTGCATTGTCAAGGCACTGTTATGCTGTAAATTGAATTTGCTCTTCCACATGGAAAGTATAAGAACAGGATGATGCATTGGTGTGGATGCAAAACCAAAGAGAAAATAATGTACTGGTTTCGGTTCATTCAGAAGTTTAGGAGGTGCCCACAATCCGCTGTATGTGACTATGAATCAAATAGGAGTAAACTAGTACTTGCATTTTACTTTATATTTCCCCGCAAAGAGTATTAGCAATTTCATCTTGACAGGTAATAGAAGAAAGAATGCCTCTCCAAGGCACCCTTTGTCACGCAACCCTTGCCTGCAAGTCTAACGCTAACAACACAATCTTTCTCAAACGCACAGTTACCAGTGCCAATAAGTGCCCATGACTTAACATCAAGTGCTAAGGTTCCTCTTTAGGAAGTGCGAAGAAAATAATGTGGCCTCACTATGCATGCCTGTATGTCAAATTACCAAACCAACAGCACGTTGGAATTATTAGGACACCAATATACCGAGAGGAATAGAATGTACAATACCCGTCGCACATGGTGGACCTCAAAAGAGATGAAGTTCTCTTGAAGTTTTCTCACTTCTTTGCACAGTTCCATCATGTTCTCTTTCTTTGCTTGCCACGTACCTTTCACCTGTTTAAGAGATATGAGAAGGCTGTCAAAAGAAAAAATATCTTTTCTAGTCTCCACATCATCTTTCTTTGCCCCATGATTTCGATAGAAATTTTTAACATCGTTTGTAAAATGACGTTTGTCCTGTTTATCCTCCTTTGCTCTAGTTTACACTCTCAATAGTTGTGCAGTGAAGTTCTCAAAGAAAATGCACGATGGTTACAAGAACAGTTCCAGGTTTTAAGGTGCTGATATGCACGTTGAAGGTTTCAGAGTAAACGAAGTGCTACAAAAATAAGAAAAATGCTACAGACATCCTGAGTGTTTCTGATTAATGTTTTCCTACATAGCATTAAATATGGGAATATTGATTCCTAGTTGCCTGTAGAATAATGCACAAGTAAAACTAAGATTTGTATGACTTTCGCTCTCTTTTTCCAGTTGTTCTCTTACTGTTTCAGTTAGCCGCATGACTTGTGATTTAGATTATAGCATGAAAATGCAGAGTTGCCAGACAACCATAAAATGTGGGCAACTTGATCACTGATAAAAAAGAAGCTCATAAGCATGTACCTGATAACAGACTAGTTGAGAGTCACCATATACTTTGATTCTCTTGAATCCAAGCCTGATAGCATATTTCAGTCCTAAGATAAGGCCCCGGTACTCAGCAACATTATTGGTAGCAACACCAAGACCCTCACGAAGTCGAGATATCTTCAAGGATATGTCAGGACATGAAGTCAAGGGATAGATCGACAGACCAAAACTGCAAAGGATAAACTCTGAAGTACATTAAATATTTACTGTACCACTCTCCCGTCTTCAGTCATAAGTACAGCTCCAGCACCTGATTTTCCTGGGTTTCCTTTTGAAGCACCATCAAAGTGAACCACACATACCATCTGATGACCAGAAAAGTGCAGAACTTGTATAAATTCAACATGAAAATATAGCATGCGCTGATGGCCAGCTGAGGCAAGTTACGTGCAAGAGAAGTAGGTAACCACACAACCATCAAAGTTCTATTGTTTCAATAGTTTGGCTGCAACAGTTATAAGGCTAGGTGCAAGTCTTTAGGTGCAGGAAATGAATATACTTGAAACACCTATTATGGGCAGATAGTCTTAATTGAATAGATTATACAATATTAATACACCCGCTTTGACTAAACAAAGTATAGCAGCCAAGAGATACAACAAATAAGCACACTTGAAAAATACCTCATAATTTAATGGCCTGATGTGAGCAGGTTATAAATATACAAGCTTTCAGTAAATGATCATGCGAAAATACATCTGGATAAAATTTTCCTTTTTAATCAGAACATGTTCATGAATGGAATTGAGTTAGTGCCAGAACAGGTTCGTAACTGAAGACCTATTTGGTTGATTTTGTGGCAAAATAAAAAAATAGTGATGCTAAGTCAGAATCTTGATTCAAGTCATACAATCCTACATTGTAAGACCTATTGATTGGACCAATCTAATCCTACGTAACACAAAAATTTGTAGGATCATTGACTGTATATGTCCTCTTTAGTGTAACATCTTACTTCTTATCAAATGATAATTTTGGCGAACCAAGCTGGTGGCTTTATTTATAAAGCGGGGCGAAAGCCTATTTCGAGAGATAATTTTGGCAAACCTTTTTTTTCTTCATATCCATTATAATATGTATAAATAATAAATGATCTTTAGCATCCACTACATTTTCGAAAATTTAAGTTGTAAGTATAATTTCTATAGTTGACTACAGATGTTTAAAGTGTTTATTTTGTAGAATCTGGTTTGATCCTGATTCTACACTGAGGCTATATTGCGCTATCCTGCCAATGAACATCTTATCTAATTCAGCATCGTGAGTCTAACAACACCAATTACAAATATTTACCATTGAAGCATATTAGATATTTCAAAATTGAAACTATGTATGCTTAGCTTCTTTGATATTCGACCTACTAAACGGAACTTAAGTGCATAGATCACTTCCTACAGCATCTCAAACAGATTGGAAAACTTATAAGCAACCAGTCCAAACATGACCAAACATTACATATTGTTTTGAGACAGGTTGTGCATCAAAAGCTCCAGTGTGGTTAAGGTTATTTGGCAAGGAATAACTGGAGGACCTTGGTTTGGCTTCCTGCAATATAAGCCCATCATATAAAAAAAATATCAATACTTCCATATTAGACAAGTGCTTGCAATTATATTTGAAAAGGGGAAATATATGCTAGAAGCGCATAATTTGCGTGCTGCATATTCTTAGTCGTGACATGTTACATACCTGCCCACTAAATGCATGTTCCTGGACTGAGTAACCTTGAGCTTGACCAGATCCAGCGACACTCTGTAATAACACAATACGACGTAATTGATGATATTATGAGTGGTTGGCTGCTTGCAATAGCAGAACTTACATAATTCAGATCCACAGGTTGTGTCCCAGGCTCATGTTTTATATCATTATGGATGCCAGGTTGATATCTTATATCACTGCCGAGGGTGGACAGATTTGGAGCTCGTTGGTTTGAACTAGTAGCAGTTACCTCCTATAAAGAAAAAAAAATATGATAATTCAATGCATCAAAGATGCCAGCTGTACTAGGTCAAAAACAAGAAAATAACTCATCATACAAGCTTTGACCTCATACCTCATAGTAACTATTTTCAGATTATAACATGTCATCTGATTATGAAAAACAAATTCAAGTGCAATTTTTAGCAGTTTACCTGGAAAGTGCAGGGCACAAGGGCACCCAATAAATCTTCCCTAAGTTCAGATGCACTGATTGTATACGAAGCATTGATTAGTCCACGTGAAGAGAGGTATTCTGCCTTTTCTTTGCTCCAGCAATAACCCTTGTAGGCACTTGCAGCAGGACCAGATACCTTTCAAAAACAAAACCAAAATGTGAGAAGATAACGCCTTTGCTCGTAAGAATATAGGAATGGTGATAAGCTGGTGAATGGTTCATCTTCCATCCCACCTTGTTTTCGAGGTTCATGTACTATGATCATTTTATAGTTTTGCTATCTGCAGATTCCAAGTTATTTTCATAGTAAACATGAAGAACACACAAAATATATATAGTATTGGATAGTTGTAGCAGAAATACAGGCTGCTATTACACTATTCCCCAGCTTAAAACATAAATCCTGTGGTTAACTGTATATAACCAGACCAGTACAATATTTCATCAAAATAACAAGGAATTGAAAGCAATATTGTAGTGGTTCAACTGGAATTATGCGGAGTCATGAATACGCTATATTATGAAAAGGTATACATCTTATTAAATTTAGCTAATACAAGCAAACATTGGTAGCAACTGAGCATCATAATGAATTGGCATATAATTCTCAAATCAAACATATCAAATTTAGCTAATATATTTTGAGGTATTGCAAGATTGTTGTGATTAGCTAACCTTAAGAGGTTCAATGTATAGCAAACTCCACCTGCGGAACCAACCATACAGTAACGTACTAACCTAGCTACAAATAATGATTTAATTGTTGTTCATAAAACTAGCAGTATGTATCTATCCAACCAATTAACTTCAAGTAAATATCAAGAAATATTGAAACCTCAGCCTGGTTAACCAGCATTAGAAAAATTGGAAGGAACAATGTTAGTAGTTCACTACTTCACTAAGGCATGGAACAGCAAACACTGATAGAAGCTACAAAAGGAGCTGTGCTGACATGTTCATCTCCCTTCCACTAAGTATGGAACATGCCAAGGCCAGAAGGCAAAAGAAACAAGGTTTAGTAAAACTTCGTACATATGCAACCATGGTGATTTTAGGATACAGACTTGACTGAGGGAGCAAGGACAAGTGGAACATTTGCTAAAACAACTTCATGTTGAGAGTAGTCATAGTAGGGTTGATACATTATGACATAATTCTGACTTCTGATAATGGCATAATAAGAATCTTATACATCAGCATAGAGGTAAAGTGCAAGCAAGTTAACTGAAAATTCTTCATATAGCATCACATACCGAAGAGCAAATTTGCGCCTGGCAATCATTTAAAGTTTTATAAACAGCAACCATGTCCCCTTTCTTGACAACATAATAGTCACTGCCTTCTTCCATAGGACTGCCAAAAGAAGAAGAATAAATCAAGCAATCCTTCAAGGCACAAAATGTTATCGTGTAGAAATCTAATTATAAGATACATTACACAAGCAAAACTGTTTTCCAGTTGTTGGTTACCATACTCAATCTATGCCATATAAAGGCATTTATAGCTCTATATCCCAAAATGTGAACAATGTATAGCCTATGTCTCAAAATTCTGAAAAACGAATGGCGCTTTCTAGTTTCTACATAAAACTACAAAAAAAGCACCTAAAATAACCAAATTATGTAAGATTAACTCAAATTCCCAAGGAAACAACGAATGGATTGCAGAATCGCTAATGGAGAAGGTGCCCTAACTTCCACCAGACTATGGCGATGCTACTCCATGGCTCTGTATATTCCAGGGGGCGACTTCACACGGGGCATGTGGTGTGGGTTCAGTCGAAGCCCCCAAATCTTACTGGAAAATAGGGCGGATGCAGCAACAGCAGCTTGCGTAAACCCTATTTGACGGGGCTCAACAGCGATCCATCTTTACTAAGAAAGATCCGGGTGGATCGATTGTTTACAGCAGAGAGAAGACCAGAGCAAAACGAACAGCAATGCAGTTGCAGAGTCTAGGGCTCCCTTACCAGCCCGGTGGTCGGGCTTCGAGGTGGCAGCCGCGTTTCCGTGGGAAGGGAAGAGGTTTGGGACGGGAGAACAGGGGAGACGGCCGACGGAGGTGAAGAGGGGACCGGAAAGGCAAGAACAAACAAGACCCCAGTCTCAAACCAATCGCCAAAAAACAAACGGAAATGATAATAAGTTTTTCTCTCTTTTTTATGAATTTTTTTTATCAACAAACACCAGAAATAATAAAATTATGTTCAGATCCATAGACCATCTAGCAGCGACACAAACACTGAAGAGAGCTGAAGACGTGTCACCGTCATCGTCCCTCCCTTGTCGGAGTCGAGCAAAACTTATTGCAGTAGACAGTCTGAAAGTCGTCGTGTTAAGACTCCATAGGACCAGCGTAGCAGAACAACAATCGTTGCTGATAAAGAGAAGTATAGATCGGAAGAATCCTACCTGAAGACACACACATAGGCGAATAAAGACTAGATCCGAACAGATCCACCAAAGACAATTACGATCAAATCTTAAGAGATCCGCCGAAGACATGCCTCTACACGCCCTCTGATGGTGTCCTGAATTAGGGGTCATTCACCATATCGGTTCCGGCCAGGTGGGCCAGGCCGAGAACCCATGACGGTTCATCAAGGGGTCATTTCGTGTTGTCCATGATGATTTATGAAGAGTCATGACGTACAAGACAAGATAAGGATTCCTAACTTGTGGAGGACTCCTTTTTATCCATGTAGGCGACTGAAACTTTTGTTATCCAAGACCTTTAGTATATTATACAAACTGAGGTTAGACAAGTCGATAGATCATTATAATCTCAACACATTTTAGAGATGAGAATTTTACACGACAAATCTCATGATAAACACATGTACTCAACATTATACCTCAATCAATAAACATAAGCAAGATGTAGGGTACTATCTCCTCAAGAGAGCCCAAACCTAGGTAAAACCTACCGCCCACTGTTACCATCGTGTCAAGGCTACTAGCTTGGAACCCCTATCCGAGATCTGCTGGATTTGACTCCACCACCCTCCGACAATAGTAGACACTGAAGGAAATATGCCCTAAAGGCAATAATAAAGTTATTATTTATTTCCTTAATTCATGATAAATGTTTATTATTCATGCTAGAATTGTATTAACCGGAAACATAATACTTGTGTGGATATATAGACAAACAGAATGTCACTAGTACGTCTCTACTTGACTAGCTCGTTGATCAAAGATGGTTATGTTTCCTAGCCATTGACATGAGTTGTCATTTGATTAACGGGATCATATTATTAGGAGAATGATGTGATTGACTTGACCCATTCCGTTAGCTTAGCACTCGATCATTTAGTATTCTGCTATTACTTACTTCATGACTTATACATATTCCTATGACTATGAAATTATGCAACTCCCGTTTACCGGAGGAACACTTTGTGTGCTACCAAACGTCACAACGTAACTGGGTGATTATAAAGGTGCTCTACAGGTGTCTCCAAAGGTACTTGTTGGGTTGGCGTATTTTGAGATTAGGATTTATCACTCCGATTGTCGGAGAGGTATCTCTGAGCCCACTCGGTAATGCACATCACTATAAGCCTTGCAAGCACTGCAACTAATGAGTTAGTTGCGGAATGATGTATTACGGAACGAGTAAAGAGACTTGCCGGTAACGAGATTGAACTATGTATTAAGATACCGACAATCGAATCTCGAGCAAGTAACATACCGATGACAAAGGGAACAACGTATGTTGTTATGCGGTCTGACCGATAAAGATCTTCGTAGAATATGTAGGAGCCAATGTGGGCATCCAGGTCCCGCTATTGGTTATTGAACAGAGAGGTGTCTCGGTCATGTCTATATAGTTCTCGAACCCGTAGGGTCCGCACTCTTAACGTTCGTTGACGATATAGTACTATGAGTTATGTATTTTGGTGACCGAATGTTGTTCGAAGTTCCGGATAAGATCACGGATATGACGAGGAACTTCGGAATGGTCCGGAGATAAAGATTGATATATGGGATAATAGTATTTGTGATGTGGCCACTAGAGGCTTTTTGGCTACGACGTAGAGTCGAGGAAACAAAATGTTGTTTGCGCAGGAGAAGAATGATGAAAAAGGAATACTGGGAGTTGCACCATATGCTAAATTCGATGATATAAATTTGTCTGGCACATTTTTTGTTAAGTTAGTAGAGCCAGAGGAGATGAAACCGAATTTTCGTACGCCAAGCTGGATAATGATTGGTGCAATTCCAGTCCAAGTATCGTGACATCCCAAGTCAATTAGGAAACAAAGTGCACATGTGGTATGGATATTTCCTACGTAGGGTCATAGTACTAGTAACGTTTACTAGTTCGTTTTTTTAATCTTAGGTGATCAGGTGGCCAAATATTTAATTAGGTAAATCTTGTTTAGTTTAAGTAGGAGAGAGAGAGTCGGTATCCAATTGTTTTTACGTTTCCTAGTCAGTTCCATGGAACGACCACGCCTATAAAACGGGTTGGCTTCTGGTGTACGGGAGTTTTTATGAGAGATTGATCGGGGATTTGTTGCTGTTGCGCTGTCGTGATTAACTTTGGGTTAATTTCGGTGCAAGCCTATTCCTTTGGTTTCTTGCTATTTCCTTGATCCAAAGGCCTATTCTTTCTCTACGTCTGCTATCTATTTTCTGTGACCGTCGCTGCCTCTGTTTGTTGTTGTTTTGCAAGTATCGTGAAGGATTGGACCGACCAGTGACTCATCGCCTAGTCGAGTCTTATCAAGTGGTATCAGAGCTAAGGTTGTTCACGGTACTTTGTTGATCAAGATGTCAACCTCGGTCAACAAGGCTGATGAGGTTGTTGCTGATTCTGAGGAAATAGTACGCCCAGTGTATGCGGATGATATTCCGCAAAATATTCGGGATGGTTTTGACCACACATGCAACTACATCAAGCAATGTCATGATGCGCTCGGCAAAAGGATAGATGTCCTGATCACTCGGTTCGATGGTTTGGCAGACATCATCAATATGCCGGCAACTAATTCTGCACCACCACAGACTGCTCCGGCTGCTCCACTGCATTATGCACCACCAGCTCGCGACGGACATGCCGGCGCGCATGATCGCCGTTTGGTGGCACACCCTCATGCTGGAGATGATGGTTTCGATGATGGAGTTGACCAGGCGGGGTACGCGCCACAACCACGACACTATGAGCCTCATCCCGAAACATCCGTTCGTGGTGGAGTGCATGACCGAGTTGGTCAAGCTGTGCGTGTGCCTTTGGATGATGGAATTGGGCGCATAAAAATTTCAATCCCTTCATTCTCCGGCAAGTGCGAACCAGAAGGCTATTTGGAGTGGGAGATGCGTGTTAATCAAATTTTTGATGCCCATCATTATAGCGAGGAGAAGAAAGTTCAACTTGCTGGAATTGAGTTCACCGGTTATGCGCTAATTTGGTGGAATCAAATTTGTCGTTCAAGACATCGCCCGATGACTTGGCGAGGTATGAAAGAATTCATGAGGCGACGTTTTGTTCCCGAGCACTATAAAAGAGATATGTACAACAAGTTGCAGCGGCTCTCGCAAGGTAATATGAGTGTTGATGAGTATTACAAAGAGATGGAATTTCTTATGATACGTATAGGGACAACGGAGGATCCGGAGGCGACCATGGCATGTTCCTTAAATGGGCTAAATATTGAGGTGCAGGATCGTGTTGAGATGGTGGTCTACTATAACATACAAGATCTTGTGCACCAAGCTGTGCGTGCGGAACAACAGATTAAGCGACGCCAAGTCAACACAGTTCTCAATACCACTTTGAACACATGGCGACGCTCACAGTATAAGAGTGAGGATGTCGGTCCTAGCTCCAGGGCGACATCATCAAATCGCTCTCATGGTTCCATGCAAAATGATGCTTCAAAATCAGGACTATCGATGGTTGATTCTAGTTCACAGTCGACCGGACGCACTAGTGACATAGAGTGTTTCAAGTGTGGAGGAAGGGGGCATATGAAGTGTGAATGTCCTAATGAGAAAAGAGTGTTGCTCACGAGAGATGGCTATGCATCCGCTAGTGATGAAGAGGCAGTTTCTGTCACTTCTAATGAAAAATCTAAGGATACTGAAAATGTGGTTGCGAGTTTTGAAGCTGCTGAGTCATATCCTTCACTAATGGTGCAACGATTGCAGGAGGATCGCATTCAGGATAAGGGGCAATGTTGGAATATTTTTCAGTCTGAGTGAAAAATTAACAATACCAATTGCAAGTTGATTATTGACGGTGGAAGCTACACAAATGTTGTCAGCAAGGGATTGGTGGATGCTTTACGATTATGTATGTGGAAACACCCACAGCCCCATCGTGTCGAGTGGATGCATCACAC